GCAATGTTTATTGTCTACATAGTTGCAGGCAGCATGCCTGCTGGCAAGCAGAGGACTGAACTGGAGGGAACAAAAGCAACGAGTGCCACCATTCACAGGGCAGAGGGTTGAGGGTAGGCAGAGGTCAAAGGCAAGCAATGAGGGCAAGTGTGGCACTCAAGATTTAAGTAAAGTCCCATGTGATATTCAACCATTACATAAGCTAAGTAACTCACTTTATATTTACTATACTATTATAATATACATGTTACATTTGAGTACTATACATTTATTCAGTTTATAACCTCTCAAACAGAGTTTCTATTTATTATAAACATTAATAGAACTTTAGTACACATTATAAGTGTAGAAAATGCTTTTATATTATATTATATAGTAGACACAAGTCTTTTTCTTCAAGTAAAATACTATAATAAAGTATTTACTCTCAATATATTTTTGTTAAAATATATTTACTCAATATATAAAGCTATTATAATACATATACTGTATTATATTCATTAATAATACTTTTAGAACCTTTATAAGAGTATATAAGACTTGTTTTTACTTTATAATAGAGTTAAATACTTATAATTACAATAAAACAGATAAATAATGTGTATTTTATTATATAAGATCTATAAAGCTATATAAGAAAATGGACTTTTCCCTGACATGAGTAATTTATTTTATAACTCTACTACATAACATTTTTTTCCTCCTGACATAGAATATTGTATGAGTTTAAAGTGCACAGTGAATGTATATAATATAGAAGACATAAGAACTTATTTACTTACTATAATAGCTTTCTTGATTTTCAAATATTTCTATTTAATACAAGCTACTTATAAACTCTGCCAGATTTTAGTACATGTCTATGTGTTGTATCTAGTACAGAATCACTCTTTACATGCATCCTATATTATATAGTAAGAAATGTTAGAGAATATTAATCTGAGTTTGGTTTATAATACTAAAGACAGTGTGTATGTTACATTGGATCAATCCAGAAGTGGTAATTGAAATATGTTGTAAAGCATTATTATTGTAACAGAATGACAAGCTACAATTGCATTTCTGTATATTGTATAATCTACTAATACAATAGTAATCATATTTTTAGATGACTTTTCTTGGTTTGCATACTTACTACTATTACAGAGCCATTACAGCACCAAACGTCATTAACCACACGTGCTGTTCGATCCTATAGCTAACCACTCTTTTCCTAGCCATACTTCCATACTCTCAATGCAAAATAGTGGTTACAGCAGTTCATCTCGTCATGAACGTAACTTCACTTGCCACATCACAATGAGCTGATTGACTTACCTCACTTTGCAGACATGGTTGTGTATAAATACGATTCCGACATCTCAGCCAAGTGCAATTGTGTACGCAAGGTACAAGCCTGCAGTAACTAGAAAGATTCAAGCCAAGGCCCATCATAATGACAAGAAAGAACAGAGGATATACTTCTGCATCGAATCAGCAACTCAAACCAGCCTCACAACACAGTCATACAAGCTCACAACAAGGAAGGGAGGTCGGAGGAGAAGTGGAGCTGAAGCGTTGCTTGTCTGTATGCACAAATCTTCAAGCTGAAATCAATAACAAGGTGTCTTGGTTGAACTCCTTTGATTCAGTTCACGATACACTTGCCAGTGTCCAAGCGTCTCTTCCTTCAAAGGACGATCTGAACAGTATCATCAGTGCTGCCAAGGTGATTTCTCAGCGTCAGCGCGAGGGAAAAAATGTAGATAAACTCCACGACTCTGAGTTCTATCGCTTTGATAGGTCAAACAATTTACAAGAGGTTCAAGTGTCCAGAGAGGGCGAGAAGGAGGAACTGAAGCAGAGAATGGCTGAATTCAAAAGAGCGTTCAACGTGAAAGAAACACCTGCTCGTGGCAAAAGTGGCAAACGCCAAAGTAACCAGAGTCAAATCATCCAAGCTGAAGACTTAATTCAACGCATCTATATATCATGGCGAAACGGAGACTATGAAGGGTTTGCTAAGTTACACGAGACTATAGACAAGATCGAACTGCATCTGAAAGACATCTTGGACGACCGCACATTCTGGAACCTCACGAAAGAAAACGTTTCTGATATCACTGAACAACACAACGAAGTGAAACCGTATCTTAAGAAGCGCCAGGTAGAAAATCTTCCAACCTTGAAGGCTGCAGAAAAGAGACTGGAAGAAATAAAGGAACGCGCGGTTTTTATTGAACAACAAGTGAGGTCGCGTTTCTGGTTGCAATTAGGAAATTTGAACGGGGTGCTAAACGCTGCGCATATACGGCAGTAGGATAGGTAACGCATAAGAGAAGTAAAGGGTCAGATCGGGAGGTATCTAACAGTAACCATGTAAGGTAGAGGCACGATAAACTCGACAAGCTTGTCACGTCACAGTCACAACCCTCGCTTACCATATTAGGAAGGACCCTAGCGGCCAAAATCCAAGCCAGGGACCCCATGTCAAAAATCAAGACTCTTATCTCCCCCTTTTTTATGTCAAATTTCTATAGAGACATGTTGACTATACTGTTTACATTTGCTAATAGATTGACTTTGCTATTGAGTGTCAATCTGTCTTCTGAGACATTACAGTTCTGACAAATAACAGTGACTAATATAAGTGTCCTACCATATTTGGCAGTATTAGTCATGCATTAGTCAGATATTTCTTTTTTAAGGGTGGCCAAAATTAAGATGCAAAAATAAAAAAACTGCCAAACTCTACAAAAACAAAGAATACAGTGTTTAGTACAAAAAAAGGTATTTTTGTATCTACTCAGTCAGTTTTGAGAAAATTGAAAATTTGTTCCACAGAATGATAAATAAGACTATTAACTACTATTCTGTGGGAAAAAAAGTGTCATATAAGGGTTGCTGTAGTACTAGTTCGATCAACTTTGTTGAAGCTACATAAGGCAAGTAGGGTTAAGTCACGTGCGTCACGCAGCTTGTCGAGTTTATCGTGCCTCTACCTTAACTAGTTTAGTAGTTTCCCAAAATGACTCCCTGGACTGCTGAATATTTTTTCGAGTTACACAACGCCTAATTGATATATGATTAAACGCCACTTGTAAAGTGTTAGATTGCGCATACTCTCGAAGCTTTACGTGAACTGCCCATATTATGTCAACTCATCCCTAAAGCTTAGGAAGATTCTTAAACTCCGGCTTGTTCTTAGTCTTGAACGCTGCGAATGAGTCTTTCAGGTCCTATTATTACATAGCGATTCGTAAGTAAAGGTACGCGCGGAAATTAAAAGAATACATACTGATGCTTGCAGAGCAAAAGCGTTCCAGGTCGCTTGATATTCCAGGGCATCCGCCACACTAATGAAATACCATTAGTATTGTGAAGTTGAGGTGAAAGAGGGAAATTACCTATGATCTCTCGCATGCAGCAAGAATCTCTTCGTGCCAGCTACTGCAACAGGAGATTTCTCAGCAATCTTTGAAGCAGTCTCCACAGCAGCCTTTATGACTTCATCTCGTCCGCCAGGAACTACGCGAGAGATGAATCCGAGTGCTTGGGCTTCGGAAGGTCCGAAAGGACGTGCAGTGTATGCGAGTTCGCTCGTGAGGGAGAAGTTGGCAGCGATTTTTGGAAGACGAGCAAGGGTGCCGATGTCTGCTGCAAGGCCTACGTCAACTTCCTAGATTTCAATCGTCGTTACAAAGCATGTTACTGCGGATAAACCAACATCAACTAAGAAAACTGACTTTAATGCAAAATTGAGTATCCTCAGAAGCATATCGAACATCACATGCACAAGCAATGTCGACTCCAAGTCCAAGTACTAGTCCATGCGCAGCGAGTATGACAGGGACACGACAGTGTTCAATGGCGGAAATAGCGGATTGGAATTTGAGAAGATGGTCTCGCTGTCTGAGAGCTTTGCGCGCCGGGTCGGTGTCCGCGTCAGAGGTAATTGAGCCCGCATCAGTCACTGTATACGTGTATGATTTAGTCATGTGAGAAATGCGTAGGTTGTGTACGGAAGGGGAAATGGAGTGGAGGTTAGTTGACTTACGGTCAAGACCGGCTGTGAAGATCTTTGAGAACGCAGAGGCGAGAACAACGGCGCGAACTGCACCGTCCTTGTCGATTTTGTCAAATACTTGTCCAAGTTCAGTCCATAACCTAAAGAACAATACAACAACATCCTTAGCATACATAAATTGATGTAGATTCACGAAAAGGATGATATTCACGCATCATTAAACGCGTTTACCGGTTTCCTATTGGTTGATTTCTCTGAATTAGATACACGAATTTAGTTAAACGTAGGAAAACCTACCTTTGAAGTTCTACAAGGAGAACATGCTGAAACGGAGAGGACACTTTAATGGATGGAGATGTTTCATACGTGTAGTCGGTCATGATTCAAGCGAAGATATTCTGGTGGCACCTTGTTGCACGTTGCAGCAAGTCGTTCAAGGAAGGAGTATTCTGAGTGATTAAAGGTCCAATGGAACTTGTTATAGCTACAGCATGTTTCAATCGGAGTTGTGGATTTCTTCTAGTAGAATTCGTTACGGTGCAAGGAGAAGTTCTTTTGCCCAAAGACGTAGGTGACGCAATCACATGATTCGGTCCCGGTCTCCAAATGTCCGTGCTGAGTGAGAGACGCCCGATGCCCGAGCGTGTTCCTTCGTTCTCTCCTTCATCTTTGGCTGCCGTATTACTACAGTTGAGGCTCGTCACGTCTGTCGAACCTACCTAGCTGCTATATAACTGCCGGACGCCACGTTGATCAAACCATCTAGGTGACAAGCTTGAATAAGAACATCAGCAAACTCCTATACTTCACAACAAATCATGTCTGGCACATTCAAAGGAACTCCTGCAGTCGACTCGACGGCTATCTTTCAGCCCAACCTCTTCTCTGGTAAAGTCCTCTTCTGTACAGGAGGTGGTTCAGGAATATGTCGAACCATGACTGAGGCGATAGTATGTCCCGCATTCATCTCTACCACCTCAAGCCATGCGTCTCATTTCAGTCATGACAAGTGCCTAACGTTTGCATATTATGATTGATTTCAGATGAAGCATGGTGCAGACGCAGTTATCGTAGGTCGCAAAGCCGAGCGTCTCGCTTCTGCAGCACAAGAGATGGAGAAGCTTACCGGAAAACGATGTATACCCGCTCAAGCCGATGTGCGCAAACCTGAGCAATTGAAAGAGGCGGTAAAGAAAGCCATTGATACTTTTGGGAGGATCGACTTCGTTATTTGCGGTATGCTTCAATTTGCCAGTGGAATGTTCTAATCTGACAGGCTATTGGATTTTTTAAACAGGCGCTGCGGGGAACTTCCTCGCACCCATCTCAGGCCTCTCAGAGAATGGATTCAAGACAGTCATAGAAATCGATACCGTATGTTTCACTCTTCCCTTTCTCCAAAATTCTCTCCAAAATTCTCGTACTTAATATCACTCTATAGATCGGGACATACAACACAATCAAAGCAACCCTCCCCTACGTCCGCAAAGCACACGGATCCTACATCCACGTCAGCGCAACCCTCCACTACCGGGGTACACCATTTCAAGTCCACGTTTCAGCAGCGAAAGCAGGCGTAGACGCAATCTCACGAGTCCTAGCAGTTGAAGAAGGTCCGCACGGTGTCCGTTCAAATGTCATCGCACCAGGTCCCATCGGCGGAACAGAAGGGATGGACAGACTTTCCGCTCAACCCAGCCCTTCTTCCTCTTCCTCCCCCTCCTCCACATCCTCAACGGCTTGGAGCTCAAATAACCACTCGGGGATACCTGTAGCGAGGGTAGGAGACAAGAGGGACATCGCTAACGCAGCGGTGTTTCTGTTCTCACCTGCTGCTTCGTTTATTTCTGGTGCGCTGCTTGTAGTGGATGGTGCGAGTGAGCATGTGAGAGCTTCGCAGTTGCCGTATCCGCAGAGTGTGCTGGATCCTGAGTCGGTTAAGGAGATGATTAAATCGAAGCTTTGATGTAGTGCGCACATCTCGTGGTTGGATTGTCTGGAGTGGTCGTAGTACTAGTTTGCATTCCTACGTAGTATAATGAGACCGTCTACAGGGGTAACGAATAAGGAATTTTGGACAAGCACAAAGGTGCAATACCGCATTGTTTGTCATCGACAAACATGAAAATTGAAAAAGAAATAAATTAGGGCATTTACGTGCTTTGCAATGTATTTCATAGTCCAAATTTTAGCGCTGGATATTTGCAGTCTGGACTATTGGACTGCCATAAGTTATACCGGCATATTATTAAATCCGTGCAAATATTGAAATAACAGTTTTCGAGAAATCAGCATATACTGTCCAAATTGTGGCGCCCTTCACATTATTTTTGCTAAATTGTCGGGATTCAAAACCTCACCGCAGCCCCTTAATCAATACAGAAGGTAGATTGCTTTTGGGTATGCTTTCGACATGAGAAGGTAAAAAGTCTAGATGATGGACGTTCGTACATGATTCAATGTGAATGGGTGACGGCATAGAACAAGTATAATTACCCCATTCGAACGCAATCGCGTGTTTTTCGACATTACGCGAGTCTCTTTACTCTCCTTACCTCGGTCCTCCATCCCATTCAAGGCCGCCATCCGACCGACAATCAGCGCTCGTGCATCTTCCATCCCTTCCATTGAACACCATTCACACGTAGAAGGCAAAATACCCGCTCCCGAACAATGAGGGCTTGTGGGGATCCGTATGGAGGAACGGTCACGAGGTGGTCTTTGCTCAAATCTTATGACGTTTCGCGCCGCGGATAAATTAGAATAATACGTCTAGGCGTGTTCTTGAAGTGATGCGGAGAAGCTGGTGGGGCACCCGCAAGGGCCGAGGAGGTCATTTGTTTTATGTATTTATACCCAGACGTATTAGAGGAACCGAGTTCTCTGACGGTGACTGTCCCAGCGGCTGTCATGAACCGAGTTCGTTTGAGCGCGTTGTCGTTGCTGTTTGCGACGCAATGTATCGCTGGCGCTTGGGCCGCTCTGCTTCCTCGTGCGGTGGATGACACAGCCCATTCGCTGAACGTCTCCACTTGTCCTGGTGTGTCTGTTTTAGTAATTGGCTTCCCTTTGTAGTCATTCATCTCCTGGTGGTCGGTCTACTTTTGTGCTGCAGGATACACACTCCAGGATCTCCAAAATACTTCAAGCGGCTTCACAGCGTCTCTTGCACTCGCCGGTCCGGCGTGTAATGCATTCGGCAATGACATTGCCAACCTTACCATTGCAGTTGATTATGAATCTCAGTCTCGGTAGGTTATTTTCAACAATACATTATTTTTCATATCAGTTCTTACAATGCAACGTTGGTGATGTAGGCTTCACGTTCACATATTCGACACCGCGAACCAACAATTCCAAATTCCCGAATCCGTAATCACACGTCCTTCGTTCGACTCGACAGAACAATCGGAATCAGACCTCGAGTTCCACTACAACTCTGCACCTTTTGAGTTTTGGATCACGCGTCGGTCCGATTCACCGGATGCGGCTCCGTTATTCGATACTCGGAAGGCTAGTTTACCGCCGACTCCGGTGCCACCTTTGAATGCTGGTGATAATAGAACTGCGTTTGATGGTTTCTCACTTGTTTTTGAGGATCAATATCTTCAGGTGTGTACATATATATTATTCTTTAGAAAAAAGAGAAAAACAGAATAAACTGATAATAATAAATCTGTATAGTTAACGAGTGCTTTGCCACTCAACACAAATATCTATGGTCTAGGAGAAGCCGTAGCAAGCAGTGGGATCCGTCGAGATGTCGGAGTAGGGAACAGCTCGAACGGAGGGCTAGGAACTATCCAAACGATGTGGGCTCGTGACGTTGCAGATCCGATTGACGGAAATATGTATGGAATGCATGCGGTTTATATGGAACATCGATTTGATGAGAGTACTGCGAGTTCAAAGTCGCACGGGGTGTTTTTGTTGAAGTACGTCTTTTTTTTCAATTTAGCTTACCAACCTTTTTCGTTTTTATATTGATCAACTTTGTGTGCTTGATATGATAGCTCCGCCGGCTCAGACATCCTTCTCTCAACTCCTCCTTCCTCAAACACTTCACTTGTACAATATCGCGCTATCGGTGGGACTCTCGATCTGTATTTCCTGTCAGGTCCGAGCCCAAAAGAGGTTGTGCAACAGTATGGTGAAGTAGTTGGTTTGCCAACGTGGCAGCCGTATTGGGGATTCGGCTTCCATCTTTGTCGGTAAGTATCAGCTAAGTATATTAAAGAATGTAAAATGGTGATTAATTGTTGGAAATTTATTTGTAGATGGGGATATACGAACGTAAGTGTGACTCGTGAACAGGTTACGAGGATGCGTGAGGCGAATATTCCGCTTGAAGGTTCGTCTAACATTTCTTCTTCACTTATTTTCGTAATTCTCTCATATTTTCCACTTGTTGGCTTTGGCGCTGACATCTATTTGTGCCCATTCATGTTAGTGCAATGGAACGATATCGATTTGTATCACGCATTCCGAGACTTCACCACCGACCCGGTCAGTTTCCCGACTGAGGAAGTGAGAGCGTTTATCCAGGAATTAGTTAGTACTCCCTAAACGTTTTATTTTATTCATTATTTAATATCTGACACGATTCTCTCTTCGCGGTGACAGGCTTCAAACAACCAGCACTGTACGTCTATCTGTTCTATATGAAGTAAACGTAGAACATTAACAGGACATTTACACGGATGCGTAGATATACCGATTGTTGATGCAGCGCTTGCAAAAACCGTCAACACTACCGATGTTGTAAGCTTTATTCACCTCCTGCAAGCCTATTTAATTCACCTCGCATCTTTTATTTAACTTCTTCTAACATAGTATGATCCATACACATCCGGTACAGACCAAAAGGTGTTTATCACCAACTCCGACGGAAGCGAATATGTCGGACAAGTCTGGCCTGGCTTCACAGTCTTCCCTGACTGGTTCGCGAACAACACGGTTGCTTGGTGGACGGAGGCGTTTAAGAATTGGAGTACGACCGGTGGAGTGGAGTTCTCAGGGATTTGGTTGGATATGAACGAGCCGAGTTCGTTTTGTGACGGATCTTGGTAGGTGCCCTTTTCTTAAGTCATGTTCGCGGAACATTACCTCCGCAGAGCGAAAAGTTGACTGACTGACACCTGTATTCTGTACAGTGGATCGAACCGCGACATCACAAACACAAGTACACCGTTCATCCTCCCTGGCAAACCCGGAAACCCTGTGACTGACTATCCCGAAGGGTACATTTCTTCTAATACAGGTTCTTCACTTAGATCGTCGAGTAGACTTTCTAAATTATTGTTGATACAACAGGTACGATGAAGCTGTTAATGGACCGAGTGGGAACATTACGATGAACAGGACTATTGTTTTTGAGCGTGCTGCGTTTGCTTCTAGGTCTGAGAGTGATGAAGAGAATATAGTGAGGTTTGCGAAACGTGGATTGGGCGCTGGGAGTCAGTCGGGTGTGGATCTTAATAGTCCGCCGTATGCGATCCATAACGGTCGGTTTCCTCGTCAAGTATTCCCTCTTAACGTTGCCCTAATAACGATCGGGTCGTGTTGTAGGCGCTGGCAGGCTGTCGATTAACACAGTCGCGACGAACGCGTCTTCTGCACCTGGATACGCACAGCTGGACATACATAACTTATTCGGTATGATGGAAGAACGGGCAACACATTTAGCTGTACAGGATGTCATTCCAGGAAAGAGGCCATTCTTGATTGCTCGTTCAACGTTCCCTTCTTCTGGTAAATGGAGTGGACACTGGGTGCGTTGTTTCTACCCTCTAAGCGTGTAATAGTGTCCTTAATACTGATGTTGACGGGACTGGCGTTGGTGATTCGTGAATGGACAGTTGGGCGATAACTTTAGCCAGTGGCTGTACATGCATTTCAACATTCAAGGCGTCCTCCAGTTCCAGATGTTCCAGATTCCAATGGTTGGAGCTGATACGTGTGGATTTAGTGCGTAATTTCCCTCCGTTATGCTCCAGTTTGCTAAATATTTATTTATTTGTCTTTAGATGGAAATACAGACGAAGAGTTGTGCAACCGATGGATGCAGCTTTCGGCATTCGTCCCCTTCTATAGGAACCATAACACTTTAGGAGCAATATCTCAAGAACCATACAGATGGGACAGCGTTGCGAATGCGTCTCGGATCGCGATGGCTGTGAGGTATTCGATGCTGCCATACTGGGTTAGTTTTCCTTCTCCATTCTTTCCTTCTATTCGCACTAAATCATCTGTGGTTGTGAATCTTGTGATGTCTAGTATACGCTTTTCGCGAACGTGTCGACTCAAGGAACTCCACCCGTTCGAGCGCTGTTTTGGGAGTTCCCCGATGAATCCGAGTTGTTCGCGGTGGATCGACAGTTTTTGGTTGGACGTGATATTCTTGTTACTCCCGTTCTTGAGCCGAACGCTACGACTGTTGATGGTTTGTCTGCGTTTCATGCAAATTGCTCCTTTGAAATTGTGTATTTACGTATTGTCTCAGGGATCTTCCCCGGCCGCGGAAGCGTAACATGGCGCGATTGGTACACGCACTCCGTTGTCAATACCTCATCGACGAGTGGAAATGCAACAACTGCTACACTTCCCGCACCTCTGGGACACATAAACGTACACGTACGGGACGGCGCTATATTGCTCTTGCACGCGAAACCGGCGTATACAACGACTGAGACAAGAGCGGGACCGTTCGAACTGCTCATTACTCTTCCTCTCTCCGGTGAGAGGAGTGCTTTCGGAACGAGTTACGTAGATGATGGAGTCTCATTCCCTCCTGGCCCGAATACTACACTCGTCTTCCAAGCATCTTCCCCCAATTCGTCGGGAACGCTCACTTCCACGCCAACTGGTGCGTTCAACATTGAGCAGAAGTTGACGAAGGTTACCATCCTCGGTGTAACGACGAACCCGACGAAAGTTTCGCTACAGGGAAGTGCGGTCGGGAGCGCTAGTTGGGTGTTTAATGATGAAGGCAAGAAGGGAGAATTGATCATCGAAGGGGACGGGGTGAATGTTGATTTGAATAAGGCGTTCACAATTGAGTGGACATAATGCTGATGAGTCGGCGTTGGCCCACAGTCTGTCATGCAAGTATGCAATTGAAGTACGATATCGCCGTATTTGACAATAAAATTTCCTTACTTGAATCCAGAAAATGGGTGTACAAATGTCATCTAACGCACCAAGCCGCACTATCAGCTTTCATAACTTTGCATCTTCCTTTCTTTTTCCAATCAGATTTTAAACTTAGGAAGGACGTAAAGGGCAAGGAAAGTGTACACTGCGGACGCTTATGTAACCGCCACTTAGGACCTTCCGCCATCCGTCGATCTTTGAAATTTATCACTATCTTCCATCTTATTGAACAAGTGCCGAAATCAAACCTGTGCTCCCCTATCTTAATGAAACGCCACAAGATCGCTTCTCCGACTAATACTGGTTCTCTTCACTCTATCTGTTATATATACTTGTTTGTGATGCATATGGCCTTTTTTGTTGCCTTGTGACAATATATAATGATGAGTATACAGGGGGAATTGTGCTCTGGACCCACAAGTTAAAGAGGCCGTCTTCTTGTGTGCTTTTTGACACGCAGTGCATCCTTTTTCTCACACGCTGGGTCTTCCATTTGTCTGCAAGCTGTATCTGATGGGCTTTTACAGTTTGATGTAGGGGTGTGTTAGAACGCCGACTCAGAAGTTTACAATCCTTCAGTTTATCCATCCGCTGCAGCTACATTCACGAACATGACACAAGTTTAGTCTACTCAACCGGAGATGAACCTCATAATATTCTAATACGCAAAGCATGCTCGATAGGAATCCGGCTGAGTGAAATAGGCATGCATTCCCAAGTTCTCCTTTGCCTGCACTGATTGATGATTTGTAGAGTTTTACGCCATCAAACTCTCCCGTGCCAATCACAATCAGATCATCACTCGCGCTAATGAATAAAACATATAAAACAGCCAGTGCCTAGTACATATGCCTGGTTCTGCTCGAATACCCCCATCTCTTTCCTCAGTGCAGAAACACATTCACCATAATGTCCAGTGGGATAGTACAAACTCTCGAGCATGACATATATATCATTCAGCTTACAAAGCTTATGAGTGGTACGTTGGCATCTGAATCGCTGCCATTATTATGTTCATGCTAATAAAGGCTATATTTGTTGGATTTGAAGTCTCGTCCATGACACTGTACCTCTATGACTTCCGTTCGTATCCCTTCCGTATTACAGAAGAATGAATTAACCTGTTTTTATTGACAGTCCTGACACACGACGATGAGGTGCTGTTCATGTGGGTTCGTATAACGTTTGCTTTTTCGCTAACGTTCGTCGGCTAAACAACATATGGCATATCTCAGAAAGCTGGCTTTGGTCTTGGGAAAGTCGTATATTTCTCAGTAAGTACTAAAACCCCGTTTTGCGCGTTTATTCAGCCCATTTACGATGTGCAGGTCCGCTACTTGACGCTGTTCGTCATGCTGTGAGTCTATCACGTAAAGGACTTATAATACAGTTCACTTCAACTGGCTTTGCAGATTTATAAATATTAGTACGACGCTCACTAAATGACATTAATTTATACGCTGACGCATTCTAGTGCTATTTCTTCCTCAAGTTTCAGACGAGGTATGTACTCAAAACCAATATCCTTTGTGTATCAGAAAGTTCACAGCGATACAGCTGTAGGTATCTCATTGACATTTAACGTATGAAACAATTCAGGAAACAATTATTATGCTGTCCTACCTTCGCTATAGATGTGAGAACTTCTTATACAAATTTACACTTTCTAATTATTATGACTTGCAGGTCTATCGTGGATACGATTTCATTGGGTAACTGGTGTTCTAATAGGATTTCTAACGGAGAGTGAGTTGTTTATTAACGCGGCCCTTGTACTTGCAGTTCATTGTAAATTATTTGTCCAGTTCCTCTTGTATTGCGCATTTATGCATTATACAACAAGAACAAGCAAATTTTGGCCCTCATAGTAACATGCCTCATTGCAACCGCCCTCAGCATGTTAAGTATCAGTGCATGTATAATGCGTACAGAAGGGGGTCAGTGATTCCATTTGAATATAAATCTGCACTAGAATCCAGGAATTTGACATTCGTTATTCAGCCAACTGGATTACTCTCGGAGCTGGTTCTGATATGCATATGTGTGTTCCAACAGACGTGGGAAATCTTTACAAAGTCTTCTGGATTCCACTGCTGCTCGACGAGTTCCTACTATTATGCCTTGCTTTATTGAAATGGTATCAAAACCTTACTGTGCATGGTATACAGGCTGCAGCAACGAACGAGATGGTTAAAGATTCAATGCTATATTTCGGCACGTGAGTTAGTTCATTCTTTAACTAGCTATATTGTGACTATTGACATCGTATGTGTCTGTAGGACATTCTCGTTTTTCTTATTCAGCCATCTGACATGGGTTATTGGAGGAGTGAGCTTAGTATACTGTGAATAGGTTAACTGATTTACATTATATACTCTAGCCACTATACATTGAACTTCCGGTTGGTTTTGCCATAACTATGGGTGGTATTATGTCCCAGAGATTGCTCCTAAACATACGGAAATACCGATGGGGACAGGATGTGGAAGAGTCACAAAAATCTGTCTCGAGTTTTTCTGGGCGAGCGCACAGATTTGCAGTGTCTGAGGACAATATTGAATTAGAGAGTATGGGATTTTGATTACAGTATTTTGTTAAATTGATGTTGTATGTTTTGTATAAAGAGTAAAACACATGTGCACTGAAGTTGTGTTACCCTTGCACGAGCTGTGATACTACTTGCGTGCACAATGACTGGGACAAGAGGAGGATTTTGGTTTGGACATTCAAAGCTTGGATTATTAAATTGCCAGTAGAATACAAGTGGGGAATACAATACAAGAGAGAAGTAGTAACAAGGAAATGTAGAGGGCATAGTGTAACAGGTGTAGTAAGGGACGAGTAGTGTCACACAACTATGAAACCAGACGTGCAGCCGAGCACGTCTGATGGTTGATGGTTTGCAACCACTGGTTGTGTAACCGGTGGTTGCGAATTTGGCAGGCACTGGTCGCGCGACCAGTGCAACCGAGCAGGGCCTAATGCAGTCTGTTGAATTTCTCAACTAGTACAAGTATATATAAGCTGGCCTAAACACCTTCTTGCATCTATTTCCTTCTTTATTTATATGTCAGCAAGCTTTACCTATAATAATATAATATATCTGTCATATATGCCTAATTATATGTGCATTTATGCACCTAAAGTCCTAACTTATGTTTCTATTTATTTATTTGTGTCTCAATTATATCTACACTGTGTAGTACTTATGTTAGGACACATAATTATATACTAATTTGAAAGGATAAATGATGAAAGATGAAGGGAAAGTAATGATCTATACACTATACTACTTGTGACCAAAGTGACAAGGTTGGCACTGGTGGTTGACGGTTGTACCGGAAATTGCCGGCCATCAACCACCAACCTGCGGTTGCGCGACCAGTGCAACCGAGCAGGGCCTTATGTATCCACTACATACATCATGTTTATACTACCTCGGCACGTGCATTAAATTTTATCCATCATGATTGTCTATCATCTATAAGTATATGGTTTTTTATATATCCCTTTATGATCAAAATGAAGAACAGCAAGGAAGTTAAGAAGCCCAACTAGCTATTATGTTGCTACAACTCGGACCGGAACGTTTCAAATTTCCACCGGCATTGTTGTTCTCCTATCATTGGGACGGATCCTCAACAAATCCGTGCTTCTGTATATCATGATTGATGCCACAAGAATGCTATACCGGAAATTACAATTTGCCTTACTTGTATCCCTTGAAAATACTCACTCATGATGTACCCAATCCCTTTTTGTAACTTGGTGACTATTATTATGAACAGGACTGCAAGTAATCCGCACTGTAGAAATGCAAGTAAAAAGAAATTATATTCTTGTCTACTACTTTCAGCACCTAACACAGCTTGGTTTCGTCATATGCTATGTCTTCCATGTTCCAGAACGTTGCATCTACTGTGCTCCAACATGATCTGATTTAGGAGGCTGGTTAAAAGACTGGTTCAGGTATTTCACGTCTTGCAGTTTGTGTATCTGCTGTACCTATATTCCTATATGGCCTAGGTGTCCATTAGAGTGGAATATGCATGCATCACCCTGTTCCTCTTCTCCTGTACCTGTTTACTAGCCTGTGTAACTTTGCATCTTCTAATCAATCACAATCAGATTTTCACCTGGGTGGAGCCAACAAGATTGTAATATAAGTCCGATGATACAGGGTATGAATAGTGCTATCTGGTTCATCCCAACTCCACGCCCCTTTCCTTGGGTTTACCATACACGCTGATCATAATGTCCAGTGAGCCGATAAAGAGTCTACAGACTCTCGAGCATGAAATACACATCATTCAGCTTACAAGCTCATGAGCAGTACGTTGATCTTTGAATTATCGCTGTTGAATTTACACTGATAAAGGCCATACCGTTTGAATATAAAGTTTCCTCAATGACATTATGCCTCTATGACTTTCGTTCGTCCCTCTTCTGTATCTCAGACGAGTAAATTGACACCTTTTGATCGATAGTTCTAACACTTGGTGATGAAGTTACATACATGAGGGTATATCAAGTTTTGGTTGACTGCTCTCAGAAGAACTAAATAACAGACACTGTGCCCTAGAAAGCCAGATTCAGTCTTGGAAAGTTTGTCTATTTCTCAGTATGTGAAAAGTTTAGCTTTATCTTTTATACTAACTCATGTGCGAAATGCAGGTCCAGTACTTGATAATTTGTACTGTGGTGTAAGTTCATCATATAAAAAGCTTCTTAAAGCATGCAATTAAACTAGCATTGCAGCTTTATAAACATCAGTATGATGCTCACTAAATTTAATTAATCAATACCCTGACACACCTTAGTACTATTTCTTCCTGAGGCTCCCAATGTTGTACGTATTTCATCTAGTATCTCATTTGTATTAATAAACTCACGACGAACAGTTGTATGTATTCCATTGAGACTGAAGCTACAGAAACAACAAGAGAAACATTGATAACCTCTTTCTTACATTCCAGATGTCAGTTACTCTTTTGTTGTTTATTCTCTTTGCTATTTTAAAATTCGCATCACAGGTTTATCATGGATACGATTTCAATGGGTGAACGGTGTTACATTAGGATTTCTTATAGAAAGTGTGTAATTTATTGATCTGGTCCTCATTGCAATTTATTGACAATATTTTGTGTAGTTCCTCTCGTTTTGCGTGTTTACACTTTATTCAATAAAAATAAACGTGTTTTGGTCTTTGCAGTAATATGCTAATTTGCAACTACTCTCAGTATGTTGAGTATTAGTGCAAGTCTGATGCGCACAGAACAGGGTAATAGATCTATTCGATTGTATAATCCGAACTAGTAGTCTAGAGCTTAAAGTTTATTATGTAGGTACCTGGGTGGAATTTGGACGTGCTTCCAACATGCACGTATGTGTTCCAACAAACATAGGTCATTTATACAAAGCCTACTTGGTACCACTACTTGTCAACGGAATCCTGCTAGTATGCCTTGCATTGTACAAGTGGTTCCAAAACCGCAATGTGCATGTTGTACAAGCTCCGGCAACAAAAGTAATGATTAAACAATCAGTGCTATATTTTTGCACGTAAGCCTATGTACTGTTCGACTAGATATTCTGTAGATGCTTACAAGGTACTTGCACTGGCATGCAGTACTGTTACCTTCTTTTTATTCTGCCACCTAACATGGACTATTGGAGGTGTCAGTTGACTATTACTGTAATCCAGTTAACACATGACCAACACTTTCCCCTTTTACTTTTTTAGCCACTATATATTGAGCTTCTGCTTGGGTTTACTATAACTATGCACAGTATCATGTCCCAGCAGTTGATTTGGGGAGTACAGAAGTATCATTAGGGACAAGGTCCAGAAAAATCACTAATTGCTGTGTCCAATTTTGTTGCACATTCACAGTTCACAGTTGCTGAGGACAACATAGAAATGGAGAATCTGGGAGTTTGATTATAGAATTTTTATAAAGTGACTTTTGCAATTGTTTTGTATGAAACAGAAGAATATAGCATGATATGGTATATTTATCAATTGTACAATATAGATACATGACTATAACTTGTCTACACTAAATTATACTAGACACTGTAGTAGACAGAGGCTGGAGAGGTCATGCTTTTAAGTTTTATGTAGCATACAATACAAACAAGGCAAGGTAAGTGTGTACTAGTGTAAAGGGAAGCTGTTAAGGGCAAGATTGTATACACTCAAACCAGTTTAATGTATGTATTATTTCTGTCTATGTTTCAGCAGTACATGACTGGCAGAGACATTACCAGTATAGATATAAATCTAATTGATAACTGATAATAGCCATAGTGCTCAATGATGACTGTCGCCTTGTACAGTCTATTGTGATCCTATGTGCCGGGAAATTACCTTACTTACCCAGCAATACGACTTAACACAGGTGCCTTAATCCTGTTCTACCAAAGGTATCACACAGCTTGAAAATCAATAAAGAATATATTGTAGTAATATTCAGTGTTGGGATTCCACATCAGGTACTATGGCTATTATCAATAACCTTGCAATGCTAGAGAGCATAGGCGCCTAGATCTTGTCCTGCCAAAGGAATTGAGGAGCCACAATCGATGAACAAGAAAGCCATAGTGGCACGCAGTGCTGGTGCGGCGAAAGGAGTACAAGAGCGTTGCTACGATAGATGTTATAATCTATATTTTGCGGAGTTCAGATATTTAAAATATACATCCAGTGCTGTGGAGAGTGCGCAGATGCACAGGTTGTAACCGCCGGCGAATATGAAAGATTGATATTTCACATCTTGAGGTAGTAGGAGCACAATATTCTTGCATACCTTTTGATGTGAAGATGAGCCTGACGTTGCTGAGAGACTAGGCGCGAGCACCACCACATGCATGGAAGATTAATAACAAATTTCAGAGTTTAGCGGTAGCGCTTGTACTAGTTTCACCGACCAGAATGAAATGAAGACGAAAATTTAAAAGCGCGTAACGCGTCAAACACTGGCTGTAGTACTAAGTAGTAGTGATGCACATATGATGATAGGCCAGCTGATCTGATGAAGTTCCACGACAACTTGGACAAGACGGACTGACTGGAAGGGAGTGCAAGCGATACATGGGAAGAATGTTCGAATCTCGTCTCCATCGCGATTGAATGACAGTCCGGGAGATTCGGATATCATATGCACATAGCATAGGCGAGCAAGAGTAAACGAAGAAAGTGGGGGAGATGGTAAACACAAGCTGGACGGACATGTGGATGAGTTGGCATTAGCAGCTGCATTGTCATAATGAAGAGGAAGAAAGGACGGATCTGGAAGTTAAGGGGTCTCGGAGGCCAGGATAGTTGACAGCTGAGGATAGAAATATTTGATTGCCACGTGGATGCCGAAACGCGGGTGTGATCCGGATTTGTCGATCTCAGGGTCCGGTCCTCCGTTCTTCTTTCCCTTTTGCTCTTCCCGGTTCAGTCGAGGGGCTGTCCTTTCCTTACACTCCGTCTACATAACAGGCCTCTCTCGCTCGCTCTCTCACTCACCAACGACTCCTCTTTCTTCCACACTTCCATCGTTCTTATCTCCCCAGTGTGTTCGTTTCTCTTGCTTTTCGTAACAATATTGAAAATACTCATGGATCTAACTACAGGGCAGGGCTACTACATGTCATGATAAACCGCTTCAACATATACGACAAACTCGGCGCACCACAGCCATTCGACCCAAATGCTTCCTTCACGACCTCTCCTTTCCTCTCTCCTTTCGCTCTCGCCGCAGTTCGCTTGACGTTTGCCTTTTACACACTCTTCACGCTGATCTTCGTTCTCGTGTGGGATGCCGTGAGACTGCACACGGCACATGCGTATGTCGTCTTTTGTCTTACACCGTCGATCACTTGGCTGTGCTAAGTTTAATATTTTCTTCTTCTTGGCCTGGCTTGGATAGGTTTTTCTCGTACTTTACAGAGCTGTCTTATATTGGACTGTGCTCGTATTTCTTTGCCTCTGGCGTTCAGACGCTCGTATACGCTTTGAGTCAGGGGAGATCATACCCATTAGAGAGATGGCCTAAGATATTACAATTTTTACACGTGCTGCTCTTTACGACAATTTCTACATTCCGTGAGTAATTATTGGTTGTCATACTTCTTGTGGCCTTTGCTGAGTGTCTCTCAGCTATCCTTGTAACAATTGTTTTCTGGGGTGCCCTTTTTCCGGGTAATCCATTCACCGATAAATTTGATGGTGAGTCACAAATCTTTCCCCCACAAACATCTATCTTTTCGTGTTCGAAGTATTGACACCATGATGATAGCATGGTCAAACGTGTCATTACACGCACTCAACACTGTTTTCTCCCTCTTCGAGATATTATTCACGCACGCCGGCCCGACTCCGTGGTTACATATCCCGTTTGTTGTTATTTTCCTTGGGTGTTATCTTGCAGTTGCATATATTACACACGCAACCCAGGGATTCTACAGTCAGTCCATCTCCTCTTCTTACTTCATGAACAAACACTTAATCCAAAATATCATCTTCCCTGACAAATTGTGATAATCACAATAATAACACTGATGCTGATTCTCGACTTAATATACATTACACAGCATATTCATTCTTAAACCCGGCGAAAGAAGGCAAGACGCTTGCGGGGTGGATAGTAGGCATCGCAGCAGCGGGGGTGATCATCTTCTGCATCACGCGTTCTATATGTGTACTACGAGAACGTCTCGTTCGCCGATCCAGCGTCTCACGATTCAGCGATGCAGGCGATACAGAACTTCCGAATGAAAGACTGGACGAATGGGAGACTGTCGAACTTGATAGGTCTACTCGGATGGGAGCGCGTGTGGAGAAAGGAGGAGTAAGAGGGAAGAAGAGTGTGGAGTCACATTTGCATTCTGGTGAGGGAGGAGATACTTCGTTCGAAACGGATGAGAAGGCCGGGATGCGTATGAATCTAGGAAGGAGGAGAAACGAACTCGTTTGAGATGGTGTCTCGATTTCGGACCGCACTTCGGGGTTTTAAATATGGAAATGTGTATAACTCTGAGACAGTAATGGACGTACAGATAGATGGATACCTTGTTCATCTTGTTCATCTTGTTCCGTTCTTATTGCTCCTCTTCTCTTCTCTGGAAGATCTACTTATTCGCCATTTTCGTCGATTCGATTCGATCCGCCGGCCTTGTTCATCATCACCATATTCATCGAATCATTCGGGCGCATGATCCACGGATTTATTATGATTCACTGTCTGCCATCAGGAAGTTTTTATCGGGTTGTAGTTGTAAATTTAGATTTCGTTTTGTTCGTTCATTAACTTGGACAGCCCGGTGCTGATTCAAATCACCATCTTTGTTCCTTCATTGCATTCCGTTCATTTCCCCATGCAATCACTCACTTTTCCCTTCATTATCCTCTTCTGCTCATTAGCAAGTACATATGTTCATTTACGTTCTCGCTGTGTCTGTGTTTCGGTTTCGATTGATTGCTTTGATTTGTTGATTGTTAGCTATTGATTGATATTGCAATATATTATTATCTTCTACTTTGTTTCATTGACCTTCTTTACCTCCTTTCTCTCGACTTTATTCTCTCCTTCAATGTTTGTCTCTCCTTGATAGAATGCTCGGAATTCATGCGCATCGTAATGATACAGAGGTTTCTCTGTCCTTATCACAATGTGGAGGGACGTTTCTATCTTTTTATCCTTTATTTGCATTTGCCCTCCCTTTGTTCTTTTTCTTTTGGAAGGAAGAAGGAATGCATTGTCTCATTAAATACAAACTATACTGTCTACCTATTGATCAATCGAGTTTCAGAAGAAATTGCGAATTGAACGACATGGGCAGCACCACAGAGTATTTTGATTGAATGTTTCCTGTAATACTGTCTTGAAGGAGCAATATACCCATAATGAAGTAGGAACTAGATTGTGGTTTGTGTGACTGAGAAGTATTGATGAGTATAAGTTTTTAGAATTGATAGGACAAGCTCACCTAATACAAAGCATTCTACTAAGTATGACCTGATCCTAACAAGATTGTACTTCTTTTCTTGTTTATATGTAGACAAGCCCAAGCAGTCCTTCCTTTGCTTCAGTTGCTGAATATATAGGTATTACAGTCTGTGCAGGGGGTAATACCTCACCAATGTCCTGCATGTATATATTTAAATTCCAGCATCTAGCACAAAAAGTGTAGTTATTGTAGAGTTTCCAGAAATCTACATTTGCTATTTAATTTGGTACATACAGAAACATCATTTAAAAGAATACTGCGATCAAAATCCCATGTTCTCCAACTCAATATCGTGCTCAACAACAGCGATCTTCTGTGCCTGTCCAGTAAAACTTGAAGCAGCTTTTCGCGTTTCTTCTGAACTGTGTCCCCATCAGTATTTCCGTATGTTCAAAAACAATCTCTGAGACATGATGCTACCCATAGCTATGGCGAAGCCAACTGGAATTTCAAGATAAAGTGGCTAGGGTATAAAATAAGGGTTAATTATTAATTCAGTCATAGCAATAGTAGACTGACGCCTCCTATGACCTATACTAGCTGGTTAGATAAGTAAAATGAGAACGTACTATGAGTACGTTCAGTGTCAGTATCCATAACGTGGCGAGTCAAAGAAGAATCAGACTTACGTGCAAAAATATAGTACTGAATCTTTGACCATCTCATTTACTGCCGACGCTTCCATGCCATGTCCTGTGAGATTCTGGAACCATTTTAATAAAGCAAGGCATAGTAATAGAAGTTCGTCGAGCAGCGAGTGGAATCCATGACGCTTTGTAGAGCTTTCCACCGTCTGTTGGAACACATATATGCATGTCAGAACCAGGTCCGAAACGAGTCCAGTTAACTGAATAAAGAATGTTAAATTACTAGATACTTGTACGGGTTTATACTCGAATATAATTACCAACCTTGTTCTTTGCGCATTGTATATGCACTTATACCTAGCATGCTGAGGGCAGTTGCGATGAGGCACGTTACTATGAGGGCCGAAATATGTTTGTTCTTGTTATATAAAGCACGAATGCACAAGACAAGAGGAACTATTTTTTTTAAATATTTGCAATGAATTGAGATAATAAGGGCTAGACGGGGAAAAAAAAACTCACCTTCTGCTAGGAAACTTATAACAACACCAGCTACCCAATGAAATCGTATCCACGATAGACCTATAATTTGAAACCATTAGAAAGAGTAGAAAGCATAGAAGGCCAGCTTACATCTAGAATGTAGATGAGAAAGGCATGGCTATTATTACTTGCAATGGTTTTATAGCTTTTATGCTAATAAGATATCTACAGCTGTATCATGGTAAAATAATTGACACAAAAGGGGATACAGGTTGTACGCACTTTGCTTGAAACATAAGGAAGAAATAGGACTAGGACCTGTCAGAGAATTGATTATTCTTATTTGGGGAGCGTTGTACCAATATTTATGAATCTGCAAAGCTAATTAAGTTGTATTATTTTCAGTTCTTTATATAATGAGCTCACAGTATGACGAACAGCGTCAAGTAGCGGACCTGTGCATAATAGATGAGTTGAATAAACAGGTAATATAGTAACTCCACATACCAAGAAATAGATAACCTTCCCAAGACCGAAGCGAGCTTTCTAATAAGTGCCACAAGTTGTTTATCCAAAGAACTGTTACAGAAATGCAAACATTATACGAAAGTCGTAGAGGTACAGTATCATCGATGAAGCTCAATATTCGAAAAATTATGGACTTTATCAGTACAAATTCAACGGAAATAATTTAGGTGTTGGCGCACCACTCATAAGCTTTGTAAGCTGAATGGCATATATGTTGAGCTCCAGAGTCCGTACTAGCCAACTCGACATTATAGTGAACACGTCTTGCCATACTGAGAGAGGAAGTGGGATTGTGCTGTATAGAACAGGGTATACCCTTGCTGTCGGATTTATACCCCATGTTCATTACTGCTAGTAATAATCCGATCATGATTGTACAGAAGAGATTTTGAAGATGCATCATTATAGAGATCATCAGATAGTACAGGGAACAGGAGGATTCAAGATATGTGCATACTTCATTCAGTTTATTCTCTACTTGATTTGCTATGAATATTGAAGATATCATAAAAGAGTTCATTTTTAGGTGAAATGCAGGAATTAAAACATCTGGGTTGGTGTTCAAGCATACCCTAAATCAGGCTGCAATAGCTTCATTAGATACAGAGAAAAAGATGCATTGGGTACTAAAATTGGCACGCAAGATTGTCCATGTTATCATGAGTCTAGTGCACAACTTTCCCTGAAAAATCATGATCATCTATTGTAAAAGGCAATAAAGAAGGCCTGGATACATTATGTACAGGTATATAACAGATAAGGGGAAGAAATCAGTGTTATTCACTGGAGAATCGGCTTGTGGCGTATCATAAGATAGGGGAGCACAAGCTTCGGGTAAGCAAATGCATCTGTTCAACAAGATGAACTTAAAGATAGATTACAAAGGCCCAGTTAGAACTGATCATTTCAAGCAAGGGAAGAACTTGATACCGGGAAGATGATGCAAAATAATTAGTACTTGTGAGAACATATAGCCTATAATGGATGTGGTTACTTCCGTTGCGTACAGCTTGTTCCCGACGTTCATGCTCTGGCAGCTGTTACGAGCAGGGATACGGATACGACAACATCTTTCTTCTGCTTTCTATCCACGTAGGCCACCCTTCTTGCGTGTCTTCCGCACAGTATCAAGAGGGCATTACAAGCCAATAGACGACCCCTGTATTTCCCACTTCAAGATGTCGCATACAATGTCCGTGACGTTCCTGGGCACGTCCAGTGGTGGCGGACCGTCGGATACGCGTTCGTGTTCGAGCCTTGCTTTGGATATATTGGGGAATGGGGACTTATGGTGTAAACTCTTTGCTTTGGCCATTTGGGTCTCTTGGAGACGCGGTATGCTTACAAGGATTCTGTGAATAGTGGTCGATTGCGCAGAAGGCACGACGCGCCAGTTTGCGATGCAGCCGTTTGGGCCACGGAGGCTGAAGACAAGTAGAATCACGAAGATTTTTATTACGCATTTACATTGTAAGTTCTATCCCTGTGTTTATCCACTTTTACTTGGTGCTGAATATCCTGCCAGTCGACCATTGCATGGGCGTCATAACTCTACTAGCCAACATTCTTCGCGGTTCTGCTGGCGCCTCGCAACCTCCACGTTCCAAACCAGTGAGCCCGCGCTCCAATTTTCCCTTGTTCATATCACATTCATTTTGACGAAGGTAACTTAATTTCACAGCCACTAGTGGAACTTTATGGTCCTGCAGGACTCCGCGTCTTCGTACGCAGTATACTCAAAATGACAATGACAGACTTGACAGAACGATATGCTGTTCATGAACTGTTAACACCTTCTGACAAACCGACGTCGTGTGAAACGGGTAACATGCATCCTGGAGAATCGATCGGCAGAAACATATTATCTGTATCGACTGGATTGTGGTTCGATTTGGCTGTATATGGCTCTGTTCATGTTGATGCAGCGCCTATTTTACATAGAGGTACATCACTCAAACAAATTTTCAGTATTCTTTCTTATAAATTTTATCTTCTCCCCTGAACATAGCTCCTTGCATTGGGTACGTATTCCGGGAAACGAACCATCTCGAACGCAAGATAGTCGTACTCGGTGATACGTGTGACCCCTCCGCAATCACAGACCTCGCGCAAAATGCTGCTTTGTTAGTCCACGAAGCAACAGACGCACATATCCCTGTTTCGATCGATCGAAGCTTTCGAGGAGACAAGAAGACACCTGCATTCGTTCGTCAGAAGATTGTGAGCAAGGGACATTCAACACCAGGCATGGCGGGGGCGTTTGCGAAAATGATTAATGCTGAGAGGCTGGTCTTGAACCATTTTAGTGGGAAGTAAGTCCCAACATAATGATATCTAATTGTACTAGTCATGAATAAGCTTAACATGTTTTGAAATAGATTCCCTGCGCCAAATCCTTACCGTCCCGACCCCCGAAGACGACTCGTCATGAATGAGATTGAACGCCAAGCGAATGAGGCATGGGGTGAAGAGAACAAGAAAGCGATTGCGTCATACGACTTTATGCGTGTGGATATACCGGGTGCGCCTGTCCAATCACGATTCCGCGAACCGAAGATGGAACCGTCGGAAGTGGAAAAGCCTCCGGTAGTAGAAAGGCCTTCGGTAGTGGTAAAGCCTTCAGAAATGGTAAAGCCAGCGGAAGTGGAAAAGCCCGCTGAAGAGAAGCCGAGTCAAGTGTCAACTCAAGCACCAGCCCAAACACCACGTCGAGCACCGCGCACTCCGCCTCCAACGATACAGAAGAATCAGACGAGGAACGTTTTGAAGAGGAGGAAGACTTGATGGTTGAATATCTGATTTTTATTTGTACGTTTATTTTCGTAATTTACAACTCATTTACATTTGCTGATCTTAAGCTATGGGTGTCTACATCGTAGGTGTCTAATTTATGTCCCGAGCATCAACTACCACCCCGTTGAAGTCTTCATAGAGCCTATCATCATTGTACTAGGCCTCTCTTACGAACACAGAATTATCCCGTCCTGCAAATACCCATCTCTCTCGCACTATGCAAAAGTGTCATGGATACCTGACTCGGAGGTGCTTGCAGTTCATGATGTCGACCGTTCGTCAACTTCGAGAGGAACGTGACTTTTGCTTCGATCTGAAATAATCGGGATTCGCGTGTAGCGAAGAGTTTTGTCGGGACGTAGATGGCGAAATGTTTGGCCCAGATGGGGACGGGGCGGGCTGGCAGTTCGACCCAGTCGGTCGTCTCGATTTCAGCGTCGTCGTCATCGTCATCTTCCATCTCGGTCTCTAGACCGCCTAGGACGGACTGAACAGACGGAACTGCACCGACTTGCGAGATATGGCGAGAATACGAAGAGGCAATTGATTCAATAGCAGCAACGTTTATCCCGCCGTCCCTATTTGGACAGCTTCCTTGCTTCCGTGGTGGTTCTTTGTAGTGAAGAACGAATTGCGGGTCGGCATTGTGTTCTACACCTCGAATTAGCGGTATCCGAGGAAGGTAGGAGCGGACAGAGATGGTGGCGTGGTGATAGTATGTTTCCCGTGTAAGGTCGAGGATCTCGAGGCGGGCTCTTATGGGGATGGTATCTCTGAGAAGTATCGCGTTAGATCTACTTGTGCAACGGGCAGAAAATGAATGGAATGAGAAGAAGATGAAGGCTTGCTCACCCGTCTTCGACATCCCAATACGTCGAATGAGACTCGAGAGGTGTGATGCGGAACGATACACGCGGAACGAGCATCCCGTTGATGCTCACATACGGCGAGTGTTGTACAACATTCTGTGGCTGAACTGGGAAAGTGGGAGGGAAAATACGCTCCACTGGAGGCGGAGAAGAATTGACATATGGCGCTAAAGGGATCGGTTCCGACCATGTATCATCACTTCTGATGATCTCAGGTGGAGGAACAAGGCGCTGCGTCGTCGTCGTCGTCGAAATGTGTGGCCATGCATTCACATTGCCAAAGCGCTCCGAAGGATTGAAGACTTGATATCCTCCATTGTACCCCTGCCCTTGTCTGGATGCGAGAGATGGTACTGGTGAAGACGGCACGGGAAATGGAGGGATCTCGAGTGGCTCGTCATCTGAATCTGAATCTGAATCACTGCTGGAATCCGAGTCTGAATCCGAGTCTGAGTTGGGTGAGATGTTGGCGTTTATGACGCGTAGAGGTGGACGCGGACGCGTTGTGGGAATAGGAGAAGTACGAGGAGAGGGAGCAGGAGGAGTCGAACACGAGGAACGTTCGCGTCCTTTCTCTTTCTCTGTGTCTTTCTCAACTCGGATGGATCGGTATGATGAATGCGAACGTAGCTTGCGGTTCGCTTTTGATTCGTCATTGACCGTGGAAATAGCTTCTGTTAGACTCTGGTTACGTCCGGGAGGCTCAGTTGACGAAGACAAAGTAGGCGACGACGTCACGGGAGACGACGATCGCGAGACACCACGACTAAACGCATCGGTGGCCTTATCCTTCTCTTTCTCCTCCGTCTCCGATTTAGCGCACGCGCCTCGCCAGAGTGCGTTGAGCGAATAACGCGGCTGGTATTTCTCGATGTCGAAGGGAATAGGGGAGGCGGAGGAGGCGGAGTGTTTGAAGGTGGAGGATTTACGGCTAGAGGACTGTACAGGCCTAATAGTCTCCGTCGAAGGGTGTCTTCTCCTGCTATGTGTATGGATACGTGCACGTGGGCTCGTGCTGTTGGTTTTAAGTTCGTTTGATGACATGGAAGAGGGAGACATCTACAGTCTGAGATACGGAGGATGTGTAGCAGGAAGCGGAAGCAGAAGAGGAAAACGGACATCTCGTAGAGACACACTTGTTATATAGACTGTCAGGAGTTTCGTGGTCGTGGCTTGATTGAATCTAATTATGTATCTTGGAGTGTTGTGGCCAGATCGCACGTGGCAGCAAAAAATTGCGTTGCAGTGGCCGCGCTTTGGCATTCGAGATCTGCATCGTCTAGGCTTGTGGCCCTCGGTTGTTCTTGTTCTTGTTTTTTCTGCTTTTCTTCCATCTATTTCCGGGTCGTTTTAACTTTAAATTCCGTTGTTACTGTCAAGGCATTTTTGCTGTTCATTAACATAAGATTGTCGCTGCGGATTCATCGGAAGCGTGGATCTCGGGACGGCCTCGCGTAGAAGATAAGCTGCCGTTATTTGTTTGCGGTATTATTAGCCGCTTTGAAAATGTTATGAAAGTAAAGTTGCCCCTAATTTTTATACACAACTATTCTACTAGCGATACATGTACGTACGACAGTTCAGACAAGCTAGACAACCCAAGAAATCAGATCACCAAGACATCAGCAACCTCTCAGCCGACGTGATGAAACGCGGCATTTTGCAACTGAAACTGAAACGAACTGTGCAAGCCAAACACTCAGTCAGACATGCCATTGTCACTCCGACATATTAACATAGCTCCTTAATTCCCACTAACTCCGATCCAGTCGATGTGGCGTCCCTTCCCAATCCATCTTCTGCGTTAAGATTCCGACGAGGATGAACTCGGGAACATAGATGTGAAAGCCCGCGTCTGCGAGCGGGTCTGTGATTGTGTGGTCGTCTGCTATCGAGAGGACGTGTCGTGTTTTTTCGTGGCCTTTTAAGATTCGGATTGTTGGGTTTGTAAGAACGATCTGATGAACAATCAACGAAAATGGGTTGAGTGAGACTTAGTATTAGAGCGAGCAGAGGGAATTTGGTCTCTTCTTACCTTCCCACCAGCAGACGAAATAACATTCTTGTATGTGATGAGTTTCTCGCTCTTATGCAAACCTTTTGTGAAATAGAACGTATGTCCCTCGAGTAACTTCTTGTCAGAAGACTGAGCTCGTCGCAAAGCGTCCTCAAGCTTGAACTTGTGTTTCTTTTCGCCTTCGGGGTCTTTGAGGAAGTACTTGTCCGTAGCTGCATTTGATAAAAGTGTAGAATGCATAGCGTTGATTTAGAAGCGTAATAGGCGATGGACGAGGATCATGATGGACTTACGAAGTATGCGTTTGGCTTTGACAGAGTCAGATGCCCATGCTTCGGTTACGATCGACCGGGCAGTTGCCATTGCACACAGGAACTTCTCGGTTCTCCCGATGGCATTTGCAAGAAGCAGATTACATTCGGTTGGTTTGGACGCTATCTTTACACCGAGTTGACGAAGACCCTAAATTCAGACTATCAGAAAGGCAAAATCAATGCAAGAAAAGCCCGTAACGTACCTTTAGGATGTGATCGTTCAATGTAACTTGCGTCGTCATCAAACAAATCTCGTCCAGTTCGTCACTAGTCAGCTCCATCTCAGACTCTCGCATTTCGACCTGTTCATCTCCTGATATTGAAGGAGACGCTTCCAGTTTCTTAGGCTTCTTCCCTGGAACCCCTTTCTTTCCGTTAATGTCATGATCATTACTCTTCCGCCTCTTCTTATCCCTCGAATCCGACTCTTCAACACCACTCTCATCTTGCACAGCGCTTGCTCGACGCTTCTTATCTTCACCCTCCCACGCTCCACGAACACGACCAGTGCGTTTCTCCTTCTCAAATTGGAGAATGTCCAAAGCGTTTTCGTGCAATTTGGCGTTCGCTTTCGATGCAGCCCGTCTTCGAGAAGGAGAACGTTGCAAAGCAGCTGGACTGATGATAGGATTTGGTTGCGAAGAACGCCGAATTGCGTCGTCTGGGAAGCGGCTTGACCTAGATGGTGACTCAGCGAGGGACTCAGGAGTTGATAACGGGCTCTCATTCTCCTGTTCTCTCGTACTTGTTCGACCCACCGGACGTCCACGCTTTGGTGATGTGTTGGCTGCAGCACCGTCTGCAGCTACAGTACCCATTGAATGCATTCGGCCCAGGGACGAGGCAGATTTCTGGGGAGAGGGAATCTCAACGAAGACGGCTCGGCCTGGAGTAGGGCCCAAAGATGATGCTTGTTTCCGTAAAGGCGTTCGTTGATTTTGAGGTGTCACGATAGGTGACTTCGAAGGGCCTGGGATAACTTCCTCTTCCTCTTCCTCTTCCTCTTCCTCTTCCTCTTCCTCTTCCTCTTCCTCTTCCTCTTCCTCTTCCTCTTCCTCTTCCTCTTCCTCTTCCTCTTCCTCTTCCTCTTCCTCTTCCTCTTCCTCTTCCTCTTCCTCTTCCGCCTCCTCTACCGTACGCGATTTTCGAGGTCTCCCACGCCCCCGCTTAGGTCGTTCAGCTGCTTTCCTTGGTGATTTAACTGGCAACTGGTACTCATCATTGGATGAGAATTCATGGTCATCAAGTAACTCTACAGCCGACTTCGCTTTACCTCGCACATTCATGGGGCGCGAAGTTGTTACAATAGTATCCTCAGGAGTAGATTCCCTCGCTGGCCGGTCTTTCTTCGATCTGCTCCCTCGACGCGGTGGCTCGTCGTCACTCTCGTCCTCTTCCTCGACAGCCTTCTGTCTCAAGCTCAATTTCGCCGGAGAGGATCCTGAGGCAGAGGCGTTCCGCGTAGGTCTACTAGATCTCCGCGGCACCTCTTCGTACTCGCTATCTTCCTCTCTGGCGCGGGATCGCATCGTCCTCTTCGTCGGGGAGACACGGGTTTGGTCTTCTTGTGGTTCAGAGTATGTATCGCTATCTCTTCTTCGTTTCGTTGGTCTCCCTCGTGCTCTGGGTGGCTGATACTCTTCCTCCTCCTCTTCCTCATGCTCCGTCCTCCTACCACTCTGTGGCCTCCTATCTATTACTACTACCGCCGAGAGCTTAGAAGGACTGTTTTGGCTGATTCGTTTGTCCTGTGCGCTTTGAACCCTCGCCGGAGAAACCTTTTGCTGTTTCGAGCTTTCACCAGCACGCTGGTTCATGTCCTTCTCGACTTCCACTCTGATCGGTTCAACAGGTACCGTCTCTCTTCTATCTCTCATCTCTTCACCAGCACGTTCGATCTCAACGAGGTCCTCCTCGGTCAGGGGCTGGATGCCCCGCTTACCAACTAGCGCACCGAAACTTACGCCAGGAGGGAAGGTGACGTATTTCTCTTGCGCAGGAGTGATAAGCATCCAGGAGGCAAAGCAGTCTTCAAGCCACGTATGGTTCACAACAGGGATGTTCCATTCGCGCGCCTTTGTTGTCTTCTCTCCCTTGATACTGAATGAATATAAGAAGAGATAGCTGTTATTAGTAAAACAAAGCTGGTTATTAGTGCATTGAACGTACAAAGCAGCGACAACTGCCGTGTTTGCAGCTGTCATCTGAGGTGTGAACTCGCCGCCCATAAGTTCAATGAGCTTCTTGAGGTATCGACGGGCGTCACCTTCATAGTTCGAAGCCGTTATTTTCTGCTTATCGAAACCTGGACAAGGTTCTGGTGGAGGTGGGAAATGGATCAGTTGATCCTGCGGAGGAGAGATGATGCCCGTTTTGTGAACATGGAAAAGCCAGGAAAGTGTCCCGATAAGCTTATTCGAACGGAAAGCCTTTGAAGCAAAGTTAATAAACACGACTAAAATTCATTTGAAAACTTACTTTGACAAACGCCAGGCCTACACGGCGCTGAGTAATGTAAACGTCTGCATCTTCGACGTCTGCAGGCTCATCACCGCTTGTATGGACTATCAAGCCTCCTGCGCGTTGCACAGACGCCTTGACAGATTCCAAACGACCTTCCTCAAGCTTCAACGTTGAGCTAAGCAGTATTCGCTTGCCTTGCCAGATATTAATCTCAGTTCTTGCAGCAGCAGCAATTTTGTCTGCAGGCTCGTCTTCGAGAGCGGCAGCCTTCATTAGTGCCTTGGCAGGTGATGCAAGTCGCGTTTTATTAAGTCCATATTCAGAACGCAGCACAGGAGGATCGGGCCAAGCGTAAGGTTCTTCAGGAAGTCGCGTGAGCAGCTTGAAACAATCGTCAAACCAATGTGGTAGGACGACTTTCACACGCGTTTTGTCAGCAAAATGCATTGCAGTGAGGTATTTATCTGAGCCTGGCCGGGCTGCGAGGACATGTGTACAGTCACGGGTGTATCCTTCGCGAAAAAGTCCACCGAGTGCGTTGACTCCTGCTGCTATGACTTCTTTGTCACATGCTTCAAGCTGTTGGAGAATCAGCATGTAGACAATACAACCAAAGATGAATTGATGCCTACATCAGCAACACACAGTATAACGCCGGAGAATATCATGATGGGGTCGGCCGAGAATAACCTTGGACTGTAATCTCATAAGTTAATAGTGGCTTGGACATTGTGCAATGACTCACTCCTGCAGTTTGCCATGGACAATGCTCCGATCAACCCATTCGTCCTTCAAAGAGTTGTTAGCTAGCAGGTCCGTGCCGTAGCATATTCCTTACTGTGACGATATCCGCCCCCTTCGGAACAGATTCTTGCCCATTAAAGTGGATTGTATTCGACACAACGTGCGACGCCTCCAGCAGCCTTACCATGGTCGCTCCATTGGCGTTGAGTAGTTTGGACAGTTCAGCCTGGCGCTGACCAGGTACAGTTGGAGAGACGGCATATCTGACATTGCTGAAGAGCATGCTATCTATTGAGAGGCATGGAATAGGAAGGATCGTTGCTGTGATTGAGAACCAAGTGTGTGCATTACATAGGCGGGACAGGGCGCGAGAGGTCACACACACAACCAATGCACATGACGTGACATTCGCGTTAATTGATCCGCCCTCCATGTCCTTATGAATACACAAAACTTCAGAGTGAATGAAGAGATGCAAAAAAAGAAGGCAGCTGTGCAGAAAAAATAATTAAACGTAAGCAGACAAAGTAGAGGGAAATAGTGAAAACACAAAAACATAGAATCAAAGAAGAAATTTAATATACACTGAAGGGGAGTCGAACCCCTGCCGCTTGCTTGGAAGGCAAGCATGATAACCGCTTCACCATCAGTGTAACAAACAGTAATTCCTAACCATTATATAATACCAATATATCTTGTCATGTAGAATTGTTCACTTTCCACTACTGTCTTCACTAGTATATTCCCCTCTCTGATAATGTATACTGTTAAATACAGTATGAAAGCTGAATCCATGGCAAGCTTGACCTGTATTAATTACTAATGTTTATTACTAAATATAAAACACTTAAAAATAATATATATTCTTATATAAAACTCTTATAGTTTAATATTAAATAAAGGTAATAACATTCATTTAACAATAATAGACACAAAATAACCTCTATATATAGCTCTGTCACAATTGTACTTACTATTATTAGACTTTGTATAAAGAAATAAATAGTTATAACTATATTATAAGTTTAATTTTAGTTAAAAGATTCTATCTATACTTATAACTTTTATACTAGATTACTTTTAGAACTATATAAAATAAGTAGTAACAAACTTAATACTTTACATTTATAATGTTAGAGTACCTTAATTAACTCATAAATCTTTATATATACTTACTTACTTATTCTGTCTAGTCTTCTTACTATAATTTTAGTTTTATTACTTTTAAGAACTATTATATTTAGAAAATGATTCTGTTTCTTTAAATTATTGTGTTTTAGTATTTATTAACTATTTCAGAACTACTATACTTACTAATATTAGTACTCTTACTAGAATTAGTACTTTATATATACTTTTATTCTACTTAAATAATGTTTATTTCTACCTTTTACCTTTCTTACTTTTTAATACTTATACTAAACTAGGAACCAACTATACTTATTTAAGGTATACTACTTTTACTTCCCTTCCTTATGTTAGTACTTTATAAACAAGTATTAAGTGTAACTACAAACTTAAGTACTGTTAATAGTTAGACTTTTAACTATATTATTATTAAAGACAGTCTAAAAGGACTAACTATTATTATGTGTCTTATTAAGAACTTATTAAAACTATACTTATTATTAAAGCTAGGAACAATGACTATAACAACTCTCTAATACTTAATATATACAATTATAGTTAAGTATTTAGTATAAACTTAATAATAAGTTAAATAATAAACTAGAGTAAAAGTATACTTAAGTTAGTTTAGAATTACAAGTATAACTATTAGTAACCTAACATACCTTATTTTGTTCTCCTTACAGAGTATATATACTTAGAGAGAGTATATAAATTAATAGTACTGTTTAGACTCAGAGTATAAGTAAATAGTATAATACTCTATTATAACTACTTAAAAACAAAGATACTAAGTCTTAGAACTTTGACTCAGTATTCTTATATATAAAAAAGGTACATTATATACTAAACATTCTGTTTTAATTCTAACACTCTTACTATTAACCTAAAGGATTTTCACCTCTAAATAATTAATAATATATAAAAAGTACTAATTCTATTAATTTATATTATAAGTTCTCTAAGTCTTATTTAAATAACCTTTTTTAATATAATGTATAAAGGTTCTCAACAGTTAGTATTTGTTAACACTATAGATAACCTCTCTAGTATTAACTTCTATTAGAACCTTAATAGTAGAAATAACAATTATATAAGTTATATATTAAATTTAATTAACTAGTATAATAATAACTACTATTCTTTGTTTACAACTACTTACTTTAGTCCTATAGAGAATACTTATACAAACTAACTAATACTTGTTAGACATTAAGTAACTCAGGTACTACTTACTAGTTTAGTACTAAATGTTAGTATTATAAGTGTATAGTTTAAAAGTTTAAATAATAATAGTAATATGTTTACTACTAAGCCTTTTAGAAATTAATATAAAGGTTAATCTTTTAATAGTTAGTAAAAACCTTTAAGAACAAACTATAAATACTCTTAGTCATTCTGTACAATCATTATTTAGTCTAAGTAGTTAAAAACCTTCTAATTGTATAAGCTATACTTTACTTACTAAGCTCTTCTCTAAAAATAGTAGCTTAAATAAAAGTATTATAATAGAATAAGTAGTAAATAAAATTATATTATTAGATCTGTTTTAAATATAAAGTTAGACTACTATAATCTTATGTACTAGTTAAGGTAGAAGAGGATTAGTTGAGTCTACAAGATACAGACACTAAGAGAGATTACTACCCTTTTTATAAGTATTGTTACACCTGTGTTTTACATACTCTAACACATTTGAGCCAAAACAGTAAAAACTCAAGTAAATGGCAAATTTCTCTGTCAATTCTGTATGTTTCATACTCAATTAGTACTTAAAAAAAAGTGCCAGATTACAAATGTAGATTTATATAGAAATATTTGCAATTTGTTGCCTGTGTGTGTCAGAACAGAACAAACAACTTTACAAGGCCTTACTCTAAAGAGTTGTCCAGACTGATTACAAAATTATTCCTCCTTACACAAGTTATAATAAATTTTTATTCTAGTCCATAAATCAAGTATATATATATAGAACTGCTCTGGCAAAGTTTTGTGTTATTTTGTACAGTATTTGTATAGGAAACATTAGACAATCTTGTTAACCCTTATTCTAGCAAGTTATCTAGACTGTTCATAAAATTATTCCTCTTCATACAAGCTATTATATTTTTCCTTCTCAGCCTGTAAATTAGGTCTACATGTCTTACAATACTCTGGCAAGTTTTCAATCTGTTCTGTATAGTATTTGTGTAACAATACAAGTGTCTTTTATCTCTGTAGTATTCTTAGAACCCCTTTCTAGTACTATAACTGTCCTAGGACTGTTATTCAAAAGAAACAAATTCTAAACATACTTGTATCTGAAGAAAACATTATAGTATTCATTCTATATACTTAACATAGTGTTTTTATTTATACAATCTATAAGAGGCTGTAGCTCACTCCTACCTGTATTAATTCCTATACCTCTACATTGTATCCTGGTTCATCACAATACTTCTCTACTACAGTCAAATAGTATCTCTAGTATGCTTAAGTAGAACAAGTAGTAGTGAACACTATAGTACTATGAGTAACAGTATAGGATTGATACAGTCTAGAGGTACAGTCAGACAACAAATCTAGCAGACTTGCTGTCTATTCTGCTCACAATTATAGATACACAACCATACCTTAACATGCTCCTCTCTCCTCTCCTATTACTACTACAGTGAGTCATCCTATCTACCTAACCTAATCTCAGCTATACTACTATAAACTAAGAGGTGAGAAGTAGCAAGCTAGACAAGTAGTTGGTACCTTAGTATTTGTAACCATATTGTATCTACTCACTATTCAATAGTCAAGCAAGTGATAGTAACAACAGTACTACTATCCCTTGTACAAATATTATGGTTATTACAATTGAACTTTCTTTAAAAGTGCCTCTGAGTCTAATTACTATACATTCTATTAACTGTAAGGTCTCCTAGAAGAATCAGATGTGTTAAGAACAGTACTAGCTTATTAGACTCTGTATGTCTTTGTGTAATGTTATAGACAGGAGTCTGTATCAGCATTCATAGTAGAGAGATGAAATAGGAATGAGAAGAGACATACTAACACTAATAGGGACTATAGGACAGTAATAAATACAGTAAATATAAAGTACTTGGTTAAGCCACACAGGAGCTAACTTATAGATTGTTATAGACACACTTAGCTACTCTCATCTGTATGTAATGAATGAAAAGATGTATCCAGACTAGTTATAGCTACCTGAGCATTACTATAACCTTACTCAGGTTCCTACTAGCTAGACATTATTCTGTTTTGTTTCTATTACTACTAAAAACCTGTTTAGACATATAGGATAGGAATAACCTATACAGTGTGTAGAGGAGCTAAAAGACACACAACAGACACAACAGACATAGATGTAAACTAGAGAGAAGTAGTTGTAGTACATGTATTATTGTTAACATTTATTTCAGATAAATTTGTCTAATGTCTTACTATATACATATATGTGTTATACAATACAGAACTGTCTCATTACAATGTGTTATTATACTGAGACATTAACTAAGACATACATTCAAGACATACAATATAGAATAGTATATATAATACTTTAATCTAAGGACAATAAAGTCTATATAACAAATTACAAACTATACAGTCAACCTGTATTAATACTTGTACACTATAAGTAGAGTCTACTGAACCCCTACTTGTGTGACTTACTCTTAGGGAAACATTACAACCTTAAAACACTAACAGGTTATGTGTTAGTAATAGTGTAGAAGGGACCTGAAGGCTTAGTAAGGGGACTCAGGCTATAACTATCTTATACAACAGAAATACAGAATACAAGTACTAGAATGTAGTTAGAACTTGCAGAACAGACACAGAGAGAGAGTGAGACAAGAGTAGAGTATATAGAGTGAGTCTAAGAGTATAGGACTACTAAGAGTAGACAAGATTAAGACTATAGGACTAGTCTGATCTTGTATACTTATATATACTAAACTATACAAGAGTACTCAGAGAATAGTAAGCTACTAAGAATGATGAGCTACAAAGAATGAAAGAAAGGAAGGTCAAAGATAAAGGTACAAAGAATGAAGGGATGGACAAAGGGTAAGAGACTATAGAATGAACAAAGAATGAAGGAGTGGTCAAAGGAATAGAATGATAAAGTAAGGAGGGGTAGTAGTAAGAGTCAGTCTGTAT